CTTGACAAAGGTTTTACAGAGACAAAAAGAAGCACAGCAAACAAGAAGGAGTAGAACAATAAGAACCCTTGAGAAAAGCCAATATAAAATTTTCCTGACTTTTATTAACTGAAAGGGATGGTGTGATGCGATAAAAACTGGCACTGGTTTTTCTGTATGAATTCCCTGTTTCAAGCACAATATGTCCTTCTTAACAAACCATACAAAGTCTCAGTTCTTGACAAATGCCTATGCTGGAAGTGAGTGTATCATCCATAACGGCACAGAAAAAATGGAGCCCTGTGCTTGGAGGGTGGCCAGCAAAACAGCCGGGAAAAAGGCCGTCACAGTTCTCTACACACTGACCAGGAGAAAAAACGGGAGAAAGAGGTTGGTTTTGCCAACTGCAATCACAATTATTAGCCAGCAGCTGTAGCTGGGGAGGGGGAGAGCAGCACATGGGGTGAATGCAAGCTCACATCCACTCAGGGATGTGACACAAGCTCTGAGCCCACACATGCGCTAGCAGTGTCCTACAGTACATGCAGTGTTGGCGTCAGGTGTCCCTTCCAAGCCTCTGCAGCACTGGGCACAGGGAGACCCATACCAAACACAGCCCTCTTACACTTACAAGCTTACACTTGTGTGACATTGATCTTGATGCCAGCAATCACAAAATCTCCCCAGACACTGGCTGGTGATAACAAGACAGAGGGCTTTGCTACAGATACATGTGCTCGTACCTTCTCCCTGGAAGGATGGGTTAGAAACATAGAATAGAATCATAGAATCAGTAAGGTTGGAAAAGACCACTAAGACCATCTAATCCAATGGCCAACCTGTCCCCACCATGCCCACCGACCACGTCCCTCAGTGCCTGGATACCTCCAGGGACGGTGAGTGCACCACCTCCCTGGCCACGCAGCTCAGGCCAAAGCTTCCCACAACTCAGCTGCAGTCCCAGGCAGGATGGGTTCCACCAGCACTGGGTGGTGCGGACACCAGTTCCCATCCAGCACCCATGTGCAGGCCAGGAGCGAAGCTGCTTTTATCATCGCTGTAACGCTTAGGTGGACTGAAAATTTAGGCTCTGCTGCCCTCTAGGGGCCTACTATAAAACCCCAAAGCGTAAAGCCTTGATGGCCGATCTTTCGAACAGGCTGTCAGGGAGACTTGTGCTTAACATAGCTGACATCCACTTCTGGGCGCTTCACCACTGCTGTAATTAGAGTCATAATTACAGAGTCGTTAAGGCTGGAAAAGACCACTAATATTCCCCAGTCCAACCCCCAACACACCCCCACCATGCCCACTGACCATGTCCCTCGGTGCCACATCCACTCAGTTCCTGAACATCTCCAGGAATTATTCAAATCTGGCCCAAGTGCTCCTTCTTCCACTGCACTATTACAGTCACAATACCTTGGGAAAAGTGCACAAGCAAGGCAAAGTTATTGTAGAGAGGAATAACCAGGTATCATATAATTGCTGCTCTTATTTCAGCACAAGAGAGGCATCTGGGAGCTTGAACAGTTATTTGCCTTCTCCCACTGCATCAGTATGGCTAGTAAAAGATATTATATCCTTTTCTACAAATCTTGCTTTAGTTTTGTCTTCACAGCACAGATGCATACACCGAGGCACTAGAAATAAAGCTCAATGTGCTTTTTTATTGTGTTTCATCACATACTGAGCAAGTGGTGGAAACATGAATCTTTTCACAGAGAAGAGGGAAGGTGAAAACTTGGAGTAAGGTAGTGTTAATTCTAAGACAGCAACCTGCTAAGGAGGGGTAACTGCAGTTCCCAACTGGTTCTGCTTGGTGACTGCTCTGCTGGGAGAGAGTAGGCCAGAGATACAGAGGAAACACAGACCTCCAGTGCATTTGTTCTCCTTGAGACAGAGCCAAAATGAGGCAAGGCCCTGGGGCAGCCTGCTTTCTTAACTGAGGAAGGAGATCTGGAGCATGGACAGACCTGTGTGCGGAGCAGCATGCCCCGGAGCAGCCACCATCTTGTGTGGGGTCCCTGGCCTCAGAGAAAGGCCCACTGTCCCACAGCTGACACCTACATGAGCAGGGTGCTGCCATCCAAAATCGTAAAGCAGCTTTGGAAAAAGGAGAAGTCCATCCAGCCGATCTGAGCAGGCAGTGTGTTCCCAGCAGCTGCAGACGGGCTGGGTCCATCGCCTCTTTCATAGGAGCAGCTGTATATGTAAGAAGACAGTAGCAGAGCCCAACCACTGCCTCAGCCACACTCAGGTGTCCCTCAAGAGGCTGTGAGTTCCGTGCTGCCAGGATTGTTCACCAGGAGAAGGGAGCCGGCCGGTAGGCACTCTACCAGCAGGAGCCTTGGAGTTGCCAATGAGGGCTCTGGATGTACCACAGCACACACCATGGCCACAGTCCTCCCACAGAGCACTCACACCACATGAAGGGCCAAGAATGCAAGGCAAAGTGCTAAGTTAAAGCACTCGCTCTTGGGCTGAAAATGCTCTTCAACCCACAGACAAGAGACTAGTGACAAAAGGAAACAATTGGCAGCATTCCTGCCACTAAATCAGAGTGAGAAGATGTCAAAGTGACAATTAAAATGGCAGTGTTTAAAAAAAAGAGGCAAATGAGTTGAACATAACTTCCTATTTTCATTTAAACGTCGTTACATGTCTGTTAATTAGAACAGATGTCTCCCTAATCTGTGCAAAACAAAAGAGGACCTGGGAAATCTGAAACACTTGCTCATCTGCAAATATTACCACTAATTCCCATGTTCTGACAGCAAATCTTTCGCACTAAATGGAAAGACCTGGCAGTTCAGGATCCTGTCTTGCAGAGCAGGGCTTATTCTGCAACACCCAAAGCTCAGATGAAATCATTTTCTCCTCCTTACACCTGCAAACACCAGGTGTATCTCGGGAAACACAAGCCTCTCCTCCTCTTCCTCACACACATTTTAGCTACACTTTACCCCATCAGGACCCCTGTTTAGTTTATTTTGCTCACAGAGGAAAGACTCCATCAGTCACTAGCATTTGGTAAGCTCTTTAATGGCAGCCTATAGTGTAACTACACTGTTGGATTTGACACCTCGGTGGTGGGAGAGGAAGGAGGAAGGGAAGAATAGACAGGGCTCCTCTGGAGGCTCACACCTGATAAAGCATTGAGCAAAAGGGCAACACTTGACAGCCCAAAAGTCCAAAAGAGACAAAGATCTTCCACTCAGAAAAACAAATGGTGGCAAGCACGCCAAGGACAGTCTTCACATGGTGTGGTCTAATATTATTACTGCTTGAGGTGTTGAGCTCTGACTGATCCCCACATCATTATAGGAAAACTCAACAACAAAAAGATGTTAATGACTAAAATCTGGGGCTGTCGTTTCCACTGCCACCCCAAAGATGAAAGCAGACATCCTTTATACACAGTGCTACCACAGATCTCTGCCTACAGGAGCAGCAGCATGTCAGTGCAAAAAGGAAATTTCAGAGTTGGATGTATTTTACATGAAACAAGACAGCTTTGTTGTAGTCAGTAGTAGCTCATTTGAAGACTGTTTCTTCAGACAAAGGAACAGCCTCTTTGTTAATCTGAGCATTTGTGACCAGGCTGGGATGGACAGCACTCTGTTACACGGCTTTGCAGAAATCTGGGTTTGTGATAACACAGACGTTTCTTCAGGTATTTTCTTCCTTAAAAAAAGCCCTTAGCTATGAGAGGAAAAAAAACCATGCCAGAGATACAGACTGCAGCCAGAGAGACCTCACTTTCTGGATGCCCAGCCAGGACAGTTTAAGGGGGCCTGATTTTTGAAAGGTAGATTAGTTAGATAGGCATCAGTCTCACACCCTTGTGAAAGGGGTCTTCTTCACCCTCTTTGGCTGCTTTGTCTTTTCCGGATATGGGAAATTCTGAGGATGGAGCAGTATTGATGTGGGGTAAGGATGGACATGAGGAAAGGATGTACACGAGGGAATGATGGACGTGAGGGAATGATGGACGTGAGGGAAGGATGGATCAAGTGTTAACCTTGCTGATCACAAGCTGGGTCCCTGTGAAAGATCAAAACACAAGCTCAAAAAGGCTTGTCCCCTATGGCATCTTTGCAGGGCAATACCCATACTGTCATTGCAGTCAATATTCCTGTCACAGCCTCACGTCCCAGCTTCCAGAGGAGAAAAGGCCAGTCACTCGCTAAGCAGCCTCGCAGGAACATCTGCTGCCCCCAGCCACCATCTCACCCAGCATACCTTACACATGACTCTGCACCAAAATGCAGCAGCACTCATATAGTCAGGTTGCCAAAGCAGAACCAGCTTGGGCTGCTCCCCTCCTAAGGAGCATTTTTATGAGCAGGCACCTTTCAAAGGCACTAAACAAAGAGGAACCAGCCCCGGGCACGTCTCTGTGAGGAGAAAGTTTGCCAGTGTTTTTTCTCAATATATCATTAGCAAATCCTGTTAAGAGTTTTTTACTGCATACTTCATAAAGCAGCTTCCTGCTCCCTGCCCATCACTCTGACCTACTCACACAGCACCACAAATTACACAGCTAGGGAAGAGGAGAAGGCCTTTTAGTTTGTCTTTTCTCAGCTCCTTCTTCCCTCATCAACTCAATGTATTCACTGGACAGGATGCTAGCAGAAACAAGTGACTGTGCTCAGGAATGCCCAGAGCAGTTTTTACATGCACTGCAGAGGTTCAATAAGCAGATACCTTGCAGGTGCTTGGGGTGGTCTCCAAATCCTGGCATCTCCCCCAAAGGGTCCTTTTCCTCCTCTCACTGAATTTCACAGGAACCCAGCTGCTGAAATCCACCCAAAGCTCAGAGCAGTGGCAGAGCCCTGAGCCCACATTTTCTTACTGAGTCCCCACACCTGCAAGTGTTTGCACATGTGTTCACAGGTGCACCCTCTCAGTGTGGCAGCCCGGCCAGGGCCATGCTGTCTTCGGTGAGTTACTGAATGGTTACCAACCCCAAAATGTAGAGGACTGAAGAACAAATAGACACAAATAAAACATGTAAATACTTTGTGATACGATGAAGCATTAGGTAAGTGTGGAACACGTAACATGATCATACAGAAATGTATTTGGTCAAAGGAAGCAATCAACATTTTTTGATAAAATACATTCTATATTAATGCTCATTCACATTTAACACACACGTCACTTAAGTTTTCTTGTGTATAAAATTTCCAGTTTATTGTTAGTGTTGCCTGGCAGTGCTTCAGTACAGCAGTGAGGCTGCACGCTCTGCTCCCAGCAGCATGAGGGGGGACACAGGTGTGCAGCTCTCTGCAGGGCTGAGCCTCATGCAGCCTCCAGAGTTGCGTTTGAATACAATCTTGCTGGCCGTAGTGAGAGCTTTAGAGAACAGAGAACATCCCCCACCAGAGAGAACAGGAGAGAACAGCCCCCATCTACCAAGCACTTGCACTCTGGTGGAGAGATCACTCCAATGGCACATGGCATTCCAGAAAAAGTGAGTTAGTGAATGCAGAAAATAATGTATCTACATGATTTACAGCTTTATGTTTGCATACATCCATATTAATGTTCAACCGCTCATTAACAATTCAAACAATAGTTTGTGCTACTGTAAATTACATCTTGCTTGGCACTGCAGCAGAGGGAAGCCAGCCCCAAAAGATCCATTTGTACGAGCCGTAACCAAAGCAATGGATGCTACAAAGAGACAGCTTCTCCTGAAGCAAGGTTATGACATCTTTTTTCATGGGGAGGAACAAAAACTTAGGGACCTAAAGCAGGGATGGAACCCACTGTTCTTACACTTTATAATTGTAAGCAAAAAGCCTATTGCTGCTGCACAGTGTTAAACAATGAACTGCCACAGTTCTCACGTCACTAGTCCATAGAAAATGTGTTGCAACTACCGTGTTTATGCCTGCATGCCAAAAGAATGTACAAAGTTTCATTAAGATCTGTTTCTCTTCCGTTCTTTTTTATATTCTTAAACCTGAACTTTGAAAGCATTGCAGACATTCCTGTACGTAATCGGGTACCGCACACTGTCCTGGTTATGGAAGGTCTTTGCCTCAGGCTGGAAAAAAATCAGGTGCTCTGCACCTCTGAACCCATCATCAGAAATGTAAATCCCCAAGAAAACTTCCTCTCTTAAGTAATCTTGAAAAATAAAAGTCTTTTAAAAGTCTATGGAAAAGGAGATGTTGCTACCAACGGGGTTTTCAAAATGGTGTGAGCTGTTTCTGGGAATTGTCCTATCATTTTTTCTTCGCTCACTTTTTGTTTTCATAAAGCTAATTCTGTATAAAAGGGCTTTCGAAGTGTGTGACCTTCATTTTGCCATTTAAAAAGAAACTGGAAGAAAGGAATAAATTCAGAAACGCTACGTTCAGTCACAGAAAACAGATGTCTTACAACAGCATCACTCTGTTTCTTATATTTTCAGTACAAAAGGCATGTAAATAAGGAGACCCTGCATCTTCACAGTCTGGCACTCACTGGAGCCACTTAAACCCATGCAAAGTAGGTATAAGATACGAGGAGCCTCCTGCTTGGGTAGTGTTTTAGCTCCCCTCGTCAGAGGTGGAAATGCCCAGATTAGCTCAAAGACCCAGAGGGAGGAAAAGGTCCAGCATAATGTTACAAGCTGGTTTATAGACTTATGGCTTCCAAGTTAAGTTGCACTTCAGTTGGCGACACTGCAAGATTTGTGCAGTAATTTATCGATGTTTTCAAAATAGTGAAGCTTACGGTCGGTTTTCATGCAGACGTGGGATATGCAATGGCTGTCTGTAATTGATTGAATTAGTACACAAACAGTATTTGGCTTTGGGTTAAGTGGTGTGAGAGAACCCAGGTTTGTTTTGATATGTACTGTCAATGCTAGAGCTCTAATTGCTCCCGATTATGAATCCAATCACTTGTAAACTCAGGTGTCAGTAAAATGACATTAACAGGTCCAACACAAATACCTCCTGGACTTGTCACTCTCCATCATTTTAGCTGAGCCTCCACGTGCATTCCTGCAGCACTGACCACTATTAAACTAGTGTTTTTCAGGAGAAACTTCTCAAAATATGGTGCTCTGTCTGGTAGAGAGCCACAAACCACAGCTGTTGAACTAAAAAGTGCTGGTTGCATCTACTCTCTGCACCAATTTCCCCGAGAGATGACACGCCAGGAGTGCTCAGCACGCCGACCCTGCAGTCCCTACATTCAAATCAACCCTACATTCATGTCAGTGAACATTACTCTCAAACACAAATCAAGGAGACAGTCAGCAACAAAACTACTTCTAGACCGGTAATGGCAGAATACTACCAAGACAACTCCATAAAAACTCCACTGAAGCAGGAGCAAAATTCAGGTCACTTCTTAGCAAAGCCCATCACAGATTGCTATTATTTTTTTAAATAAACATTTCATAAAACTTGTATCCTGGGAGCCAGATATCCCACGTGATGAGCAAAATCGAACAGGCTGACGTGGGACTATCTGACCCCACCAGGTGCCACGGGATTCCCAATTTTACAGCTCCTCTGAACATTACTGCTGACTGACACCCATTTGTTGGTGATCCGCTTCTGGTTCCTCTTCTTCCATATCTGCATTATATTCTTCAAACGCATCATCATCAACATCTGGAAGCCCAAGTAGCTACAAGGAAGAGAAAATAGGGTGTAATAGCCAATTACCCACTCATGTTTCACTGCACATCTTCCCACAATACCTAGATGCCACTTGTTAGAAATCTCAAATCCTAGAATAACAGCATTACGTAACTGTCTCGACTCTCTCCTTCTCCCTCTTGCGACGACAGAAAGATTTAAAAATGCATCCTCGCAGCAAATTAAGTGCTCAGAAACCAGAAGATAAATAAAACCAAAGCAAAGCTCATTCAAAGAGCTCTGCCTTTTTCCCTGAGGTCACATCACAATTTTTGAGTGTTTAGGTTTGGCAGTGGCTTCAATTCAGAACAAACTATGATCATACTGTAGCAGTGTTCATTTGATTTAAGGTTGTGTTCAGTATCCATTCAAATGCCAAAAAAGGAAGAATCCACACGCAGAACTGGCAGTGCCCCTAAGCCCCGAGGATCCCGCCAGTTAAGTGCTTCTCTTAAACTCTTCATTCCATTACACCAATGAAGACTTGTGTGCTGGGTGAAGCAATCTCCATAAGAAATACTGTGTATTCAACTCAAAGTTGCTCAAATCCCTTTATATTTCTGACCAGGGAAGATCAGCTAGCTCAAATTTAATTTTCAATGTCTGCATGCCTCCATCTGACGGCTTGCATTTCTGCAATGGCATTTATTTGCCACAGGAAAAGGAGCAAATAGAAGTGCTTGAACTTTTCCCCTCCCCTCCAAAAGGCTGCCAAGAAGTCAGGAAGACAGATGAACCAAATAATAAGCAAACTAATGTATCTGTTCTGGAAATCTCATATTGGAATCCTACACTACCAGCTGTTAAGAACCTCAAAGCAAAATCATGTGCCAGGCATTATTTGGAATAGTACGTATTCAGCTTGCCAGGGCTGGAAGTGCAGCACAGACATGTGCAACACCCTGTTTGGACTGTGACACAGCTGTTGTCTCTCAAAAGAGACAAAACCTGGAAAAATCAAGACAGTGATGCTTGCTTGGTGGTGATATGAAAATGAGAAGGCTGTGGCGAGGCAGATGTTTAGTTCAATTTTGATTTAAATTTAGTCCACGATCATCATTCTAAATTATTCGGAGGATACAAAGCCAACACACAGAATTAGCTTCTGGGTCCATGCATTCTTCAACTCACTGTGAGAAAACCATTTTTTCAGTTGCAGGGCTTCTTGGCATTGAAATGGAAGGAGAATTTGCTGACTAACCCCCCTCCTTCGCATTTTAAAAACGCCTGCAGATAGCCCAGTGTTCTTACTTTCTGAGCAGAACAAACAGTAAATATTCCTATGCACACCTATTTTTCACATCTTATGTTCAGCTGCATAATGTGAATGTGAAACTACGTGGTTCATTTTCAGGATGTGGGGGTTTTCTCTCATTTTGAAGCTAAAATTAAAACACTTTTTCAAATGGAAAAGCAAGGCCTCTACACTTTTTTTTTTATCTGTCAGAATTATTTTCCCTCAACTGATTTGGTGCATTCAAATTAGATTTGTGTGTGGCACTGCTCTGTTTACATCAGCCAGCAGAAAGAGCTTTGATCATATTTTTTGCCCAGCTCCAGTTATAATTCCTCCCTGATTTGCAGGGAAATGAGCACAGGAGTGAGAGCCTCATCTTGATGTTATGGATGCTGGAAGCCTTTCAGGTATGCAAAAGTAGCACAAAACCCCCCAGCATACACCAGGAGAACCAAAAGGACATGCATAAGCCTCCAGGTCTGTTTGTCATGCATCCCCCCCCTCCTGCAGCAGGGACATACAGCTCTCCTCTCCCTGGCGTGGCAAACATCAGGGGTGATATCACCCACCTTAGGCAGGTTTTACAAAGGAAGATGAGAAACATGGTGTGAGCTGTGATTTGCTTCTGGTCTGTATTTGCTACATGGCAGTCTGGAAAGGACTTCAATGGAGAGCAAAAACAAGGAGGAAAGAGGTAGGCAAAAGGAACAAAGCTGGCAGGTAGGGGAATGCATAGGGAGGAGGACAGGGAGGGTGGTGAGGAAAGAAGGAGAACAACGGCCAGCAGCAGCACAGCATGAACTACAGCTACTTATTCCTACTGGCCGAACTACCCGTTTGCTGGGTACTTTTTGGAAGTAAAGGGGAAAGTAAGCAGGACACGTGTGAATTCAAGGACTCAGGCTAAGAAGAGCCTGGACACAGGCTTTTAGATCAAAGGTAAACACAATCCAGGAGTCCAGCAATTTGCTGCTGAGTTTTATGACTCACATTTTGGTTCTCTGCAAACTCTTGAGGTTGGTGCCATTTCCCTCAGGCATTTTTTTTTTAATTTCTACGTCTTTCTTAACTCTTTCAAAGTGCCCTAATGCAAATAAACCTAGTAGCTTTTACATCTCAGACTCATGAAACAAGCAATACTTCCTACCAGAAGCTGACATACAAACACATTGTGAAACAACCCAAGTAGACGACAGAGCTTTAGCACACCACATGATGCTGTATAGAGGTGATGTGCTTCAGTCGTAGCTTGATGTGATGGGATTCCACGTGGAGGTGTTTAGAAACACGGACACCTCTGTCTGATCCTTTGACTTCCTGCTTAAGACTTTAAAAACTGCCTGATCATCTTGGATGTCCATCTGGAAACACACTGAGGAACCTCTCAGAAAGAGCTTACTGAACTCCACAAACCTGCTCCCCTCTCAGCCTCTCAGACTGAGTACCCAAGATCATGGAGTGCTTCAGAAAAGCATGATCTGATTTTCAGCTTTCCCTACACTGCTATTTTTCAAACTGAAATCAGCCAGACTTTCCTCTTACAGTGAGCTTTGCTTGGATACTGGGGAAGAAACATCCTGTAAATGCACCATTACCTCCATGCTCACAGCAAGGCTATTTCATTAACAAAACAGGTCTGGCATTGAAAGGACAGAGGATGGAGGGAAGGAGTGCCAAGGATACCATTTCCCAGTACTGATTGGTTTCATTCTGATAAAAGCAAAAGCATGAGGGTGTACAATAGCTGTTTCCATACATCTGTAATACCACACTTCACTTTTTAAGTGAATCGTGGTTGTGTGTGTCTGCTATTTTTAATAATTACAGTAAGGGAAAAACATCAGTACATTTCTCATTAGACTTGTCAACACACAGCCATACGCTGCATGGCAAAACCAGTTCCGTTACACTGATGCAAACCTCTCAGTAACTCAGTGAAAGGAGAATCTCATAAGCAATCTTTGTGGTACATCCCAGAGACAATGAAGAGGTACTTGGCTGCAGTCTGCTAGAGGGCTCCAGTAACAGAGGGTGTTCTTGAGCAGATGAAAGCACAATGAAATCCAACAGACAGCAAGCAATGCTAGAAAAAGATCAGATTATAACTAAAAGAGTTTTTTTGGACAAGAGTATAACTAATCATTAGAAGGCAAATTGCCCATTAGTGTTGCACTCATTAAGTCACCAGAAGTCTTCACATCAAGACCAGATGTCTTGGTAAAGATGTGTTCCAGCTTAACTACTGCTTGTGAGCTTGGCTATAGGAATCACTGGGTAAATGCTAACGAAGCACCCAGACTAAACAAGCATCATGGTTCCCTCAGCTCTGAACTTCTTTATCCCAAAGTGCAGCTTAACGCAGTTTGAGTGAAGCCAATTTCTCAGCAACTTAAGCTACACTGAAATAAATGTGGTTTAAAATGAAGTAACTGATCTGTACCAATTAAGTCCCCTTGAAGTCCTCTTTAGTTAAAATGATGCAAGTATCTCCTCAAAGACTCAGCTTTCCTGAGTGGGAGAAAACAACCATGAAAATAACCAAGACCTAAATATTGTCCTGGGAAGAATATTTATATTTTTCTATGTTTTCACAATTACAAACAGCTGTACTGAAGGTTCAGATTTCCAGTCCTTCTAAGAAAAGTGTGCATCTGTTCTATTTATTTCCAGTCTCTCAAGGATTAAAATCATGCTTTCATGTCAACCAGCTGTGGCTTTCCACAGCTTCTTCCCAAGCACAGAACAGAATCATGGAGTCATTAAGGCTGGAAAAGACCTCTAAGATCATCTAATTCAACCATCAGCCCATCACTACCATATTACCAAACCACATCCCTCAGTGCCACATCCACACGGTTCTTGAACACCTGCAAGAATGGCAACTCCACCACCTCCCTGGGCAGCCTGTGCCACTGCCTCACCACTCTTTCTCAGAAGAAATCTTTCCTAATGTCCTCTCTGGCACGACTTCAGGCCATTCCCTCTCATCCTAAGATCTGCAACTGTCTGACAGAGGCTGACATGCTAACACCCCAGCGCCTGAGAGAAGTAAGCTGCTGCAGGAGGGAAGTGGCTTTGCTCTGTCCACTGCTGCCTACTGACAGTCACAGACAACTGACAACCCTTGGCAGTAAAACAGAGGCACTTACAGGTCTGAAGGATTTGAAGACTTTTTCCAGTATTTCATGGAGTGTCTTTTTCCCGCAGGAAGAGATGTAATCCTGCGCGAGCTGCAGAAAAGGTAAGCAGTCTTCACTCTCACTCCAGACGTGCTAAAAGCCAACAGCAACACAAGAAAGAGGCATTAACAGGAGCCCACACTGGCTTCTCCACAGGTTTTTAAAAGGTGATGGGTCATGAATAGCCAAAGTACACCAAGCACCCGAGTTCAGACCTGCACTGGGGGCTGGATCAGAAGCCAGGCTTCTGGGGAGGAACTTTGATTTTATTGACAGCAAGAAATGGAAGGCAGGGAAATCCACCTGGGAGAGAAAATCCCTTATGACTGTGCTGGCAGCGAAGGGTACATGCCTTGCATGCACACACATTTTACAAGCAGAGGTGTTTTCTTTGATACTACCCCTGTTTAGACCTGGAAGTCACACTGGGTATTCTCTTCTTATGCATAACCTGCTGCTGAATCTTCTCTTAGAGTTCTGTTCTCCCTAGGCCTTGGGAGCCACATTTAAACCCATTTGGGATATTCCTCTCCTCTTGCCCTTGCTTGAGAGGGGCCAGCTCCCCAGCCTGGCTTTGTGAAGCCTCTCCCAAAAATGCTGCTGCTTCTGCTCTTCTGAGGCTGTCCGAAATGGAGCGCTGATGGATGGAAGCACTCTGACAATGCTGCTCTTTGCTCACAAGTGTGGCTCACCGCACAATTTAATGTGCACTCTGAAAGACCTTTACTCTGAAGTCTTGGTGCACAGGACTATCTTACAACGAGAAGCTGTAATGCTGCAAGAACTGTTGGAGACACTTAGACCTTTATTTCTGCATGGCAATTCTTTTCCCCAAAGTGCCGTGCAGCTTTTTACTGTGCTATAAACAGCAGGGTATGCTTCAGTGGGGACAGGAGAGGATTTCTCTGAAGCTTAAGTAATGCTCAGAGAAAGAGCAAGAACCACACACATTCATCCCCAGCGCAGGGCATGCATGCTGCCTCTCTGCTCAGCAGTGAGCCAGGGATGCAGGTTTCCATTTGTCTAATGAAAAGACTGCTTAACATTACTGAAGTTGTGTGTTTAAGGAAAAAGCAGCAATTGCCTCGCTACTGACCTCACTCAACCTGCACAACTGCAGCACAATGGTATGCTAAGAAAAATCCCTGTCTTACTGAGTAGGTTCTACTTGTTCCAGGCACCCAGAGTTATCTCTTGGCAGTCTGGCAGCCCTCAGAAACACATACCACAGGTCACACCATTCCTCATGCCATTTCACAGCCATGGGCCTTGCGGTCCTACAAACATACGAGCAGCTCTTGTCTCAAAAAAAAAAAGTCTGGCTTTAGGATTGTTATGGCCTAAAAAGGCAGGAAGTACACTAAATGGACTCAAATGAACCCCGTTAAAAATACCAATGAGCTCTTTTCCAAATCACAACATTGTAACAACAGCCTGGAGATTTTGGAGGTCTGGCTCACAGTTCCTTAATGTTCAAGCAGTAACCTTTTTATTACTTCTAATCTTTGTGCCAAATGTAAGGCCTGAATATTACAGGTCAGCAGTTTGTGTCTTGTGCTAAACTGCTGTAATTGTTTATTTGTGTGTAATGATTATGACCGTTAACATCCTGGTTCTTGTTTAAATTGTGGCTTCTTTCAGCTATGAGATCTATGCACAGGGACTTCCACAGCCACGAAAATCAGGCCTTGCCCTTTTATAACTAATAGCTAGTTTGCTTCCCAGGGAAAGCTGACCACATGTCATCCTACCATGTTTTTTACAAAGCCTTCTTCAACTGTGTAGCCTCCACATTTCAGTCTCCAGCAGGAACGTGCCAGCAGCAGCAGAGAATAAGATGATGGAGCACAAGGAGAAAACCTTACCAATCCATCATTCAGCCTTTGAAGAGACGTACCTGTTATATCACAAGGCAACAAGCAAGTAAGGCTTCCACCAATTTCCATGCCAGCAGATGTAAAACTGTGGCTCTGGCAACACGGACACACTGACACCTCTCACCTGCCATCAGCTTATGGAAAATATTTAGATTCATGACCTGTGCTCTAAAACATTTACAGGAAATCTTGCAATGAAGTGGCATAATGGTTTTATTTGCTTGATTGGTTACTTTGAATATCAGCAATAACAAGGTGGCAAAACAAATGTCAAGACTGTAAGGAATAGCTCCTCAACCCTCACTCACATTGCTTATGGCTATACAAGTCCAATTAATTTTCTGAGAAAACTGTGAACCTCAGGAGCTAAACTGTTCATAGTTCAGCTGTCCAAAATGCTGATTTGGTGAGTTTTAGTATCCAGGAGGTGCTGACAGCACCTGTGAACTCCTGAACGGGTCATCTGCACCCCTAGCATGCTGAAAGAGATCTCCAGCCTAGAGACACCTTTCCAGGAAATTAAAATCATGTGATCCTTGTGATCTCAGGTTTTATACAAGACCCTGTTTTTATCTCCCAGATTGCTTCTTGGCAAACTTTCCCTGTCTTTTTCCACCTCTCTTTTAAACTCAGCATGCTCATAATTTCCTCCTCGCGAGTGAGTTATCATGGACTTCACTGGCACCTCCTACGTAGTTTTTTAAGTCACATTATTATGAAATGAGGACATAAAGAAAGAGAACAAGAATATCAGGCACCAGATGCTGATTAAATGTAAGGTTCCTTTGTCAGACGTGTAAGACTGAAACATCACAAAGTCTACCACTGGTTCTATTTCCTTTCTCTGTCATGCTCTTCCATCTTAACAGAGCCGTGCAACTCAAGGGGCTCAGGTGCAAGTGAGAATCTGTCCCATGGCCCACATTAAATCTCCTTAAAATAAAGCTCAGCTTGTAATTGCACTTAGAAAGCAAACATATTCTGGAACATGAAAAATAGGATAGGGTAAGGAAGGGTAGGATAGGACAGAGCTGTAAAAAGGCAGCAAACCAAGATAGCTGAGCTGGGAGCGTAACCGAAGGCCCACAGTGCACTCAAAGCAGAAATGATGGCACTGGTGAACGATGCTGGTGAACCACCTCATCAGCAGTTCTTAATCGCATTAAGGAGACATCATCAACAGGAAAAGAATTAAGTATTCTACCTATCTGTCTACCTTGAAAGTTAATAGGAAAAGTACCTTGAGTGGTAATGCCACAAAACAGAAATGTAACCCTTCTGCTTGGTTTTGGCTTCAGATGGGGAGTCCTTCCCAACCAGCCCCGTCCTGCTGCCAGACTCCTGCTTGGCCTCAAGTTCTTTACCAACAGAGTGGTGAGGTGCTGGAACGGGCTGCCCAGAGAGGCTGTGGATGCTCCATGTCCCTGGAGGTGTTCAAGGCCAGGCTGGATGGGGCCCTGGGCAGCCTTGTCTAGTATGAAATGGGGAGGTTGGAGGCCCTGCATATGGTAGGGGGGTTGGAGATTTGTGATCCTTGAGATCCCTTCCAACCCTGGCCATTCTGTGATGGCCCAGCACGGCCCCTGCTGCAGGTGGGCACTGGTCAGACTGGGGCTGCCCTGGCACAGGGGTCCCACATGTCTCCTGGCATAAGCAGAGCTCATCCTGGGTCGCTTCCCTCAGGATCCAGCACAACGTGGCAAGCACACATCCTACTCACCGGGACCTGCACTCCCAGAGGCGTTGCTTGCCTGCTCTTTGTCTCACTGACCCGGCCATCAAACCCCCCCTCTGCTCACCTGCCGGGTTGGGAATTCGTCAGTACTTCCCTAGCAGGACTAGAGGTGGAAGCTGCTGCAGGAAGAGCACGAGCTGCAGCTCCGACGCCGTTCCGGGAGCTATCGGAGCCGCAGTCCTTCAATTGCACCCAACCGGCGCTCCACACCCGCGAGCGAGGAGCCGGAGTCGGACTCGATGTTCCTTAAGATTCCCTTCCAGCTCGGGATATTCTACGACCTCGCGACACCCTCGGCGACGAGGAGGCTCTCCCCATGGGGGCGGGGGCCGCGATCGGACACCCCGGCACCACAACTCGCTGCCCAACTCGGCGGGGCCCGGCGGGAGGGGCCGCACCTGCCCGGGGCGCAGCAGGGACGGCCCCGCTGTCATCCCGACTCCATTTTATCCCTGCCCATTCTCCATTTGCCAAACGGCCCCGCGAGCCCCCAGCCGAACCCGGGCGGCACGGCGGAAGCTTTCGGAGAAGGAGGGGCTGAGGAGCGGTGTTCGTGGGGGGGCATCGCGCGCCGTGGGGACCGAGGGGAGCCGGGGGGCTGTCCGTGCCCTGCCCGCCCCGCACCGGCCAACGACTCCATCTTGCAGCTTTCGGCGCTCGCACGGAGGGCTCCTCCGGCCCGCAGCCCCCCGGAGCTCCCCCCGAGGCCGGAGCCCCCTGGGCACGGCTCTAACACCTCCCTCCTCTCCTCCCCCCCCCGCGGTCACTCACGAAATTGTCGCCGCAGGCAGCCTCCGGGCACAGCACGTAGAAGGAGACGCCGGGCTCGGCGTAGAAGTCCATGCGGCGCTCCGTCTCCTCGGCGGCGATGAGCTGGAAGGGCGTGCGGGCGCACCACCGCTCCGCAGCCTCCGCCAGCGCCTCGAAAGCCATCGCCACCGCCGCGCTCCTCGCTCCGCGCTCCGCGCCCGCCCCCGCCCCGCTGAGGTGCCGGGGTGGCCCGCGGGGAAGGGGGGGGGGGGAGGGAGGCGGCGGGCGGTGGGCCGGGCCTGGCCGCCCCCCGGCGGGCTGCGAGGGAGGGGGTTCCTCGGAGCACGCCGCCCCCCAGAGCCCGCTCGTTGGGCTCGCTTCTGTCTCGCCGGCGCCGACCCAGGATGTGAGGCTTCCGGGAGGACGCGAGGCGCGCCGAGCCAAGCGGTGCGGGTGGCTCCGGTCGGCGGCAGGCACCGGGCGCGGTGCGCCGTCCGTCCCGTGACGCCGGCAAGTCTGACGTGACACCCCGTCTTCGTCAGCTCCCGGAGGCTGTGGTGCTCTTCTAGGCGCTTGGCCTGGGGCCGTCGCACCCCGCTGGGCGGCCGAGCAGGGCTTGGGGCTCTCGGAGTGCGACGCGCACAAAGGAGCCCCCATCCCGCTGCCGTTGCCCAAGGAGACGGTCACACAGCAGAAAACCCCAGTATGAGCACAGCGGCATGGTGCTGGTAGGGCTGGGACTTGTGTGCACACAGCCCTCCCAAATCCAGGTAGGATGCAGCGTTTTGGCATCCATCTGCAATGGCAATTTCAAACAGATTGTGTCCCACACAGTGCCCGTGCCTACGGCTTCTGTGCATCTTCAAAGCCCCACGTGAACACCTTTTTATCCCTTAAAACACCACTTTGATTTGTACTGTGCTTGTTATCTCCCTTCCACGGGATAGAGAAGCTGGCAGGTTTTACTGAGATGTTCAACGCCTCAATGCAGCATGTTCCGCAAAGCCTTTGTCGTATCTGACAGCCCGTAGACACTCATATGCAGTGGCCTCGCTTATTTCCTTGTGTGTTTGTGCTGGTTTCTGTTGCCCTTCACATCAGTGCCCTTACAGCAGGCTATGAAAATGTCTCCTTTCTTACAGCCCCCCTTTAGATACTGAAAGCCTGCTCGCAAGTCTCCCTGCAGCCTTCTCTTCTGCAGGCTGAACAGCCCCAGCTCTCTCAGCCTGTCCTTGTAGGAGAGGTGCTCCATCCCATGGATCATTTCTGTGGCCATTCTCTGGACACGCTCCAACAGGTCCTTGTCTCTCCTTCACTGAGGACTCCCCATTTGGACACTGTACTCCAGACGAGGCCTCAACAACACTGAGTAGAGGGGCAGGATCGCCTCTCTCAATCTGTTGACCCCACTTCTTTTGATGCAGCCCAGGATACAGTTGGCTTTCTGGGCTGCGAGGGTGCTCTCTTGTCTCATGTTAAATCTTTCATCAACCAGGCCCCCCCAAGTCCTTCTCAGCAGGGCTACTCTCAAGTTCTTCTCCCAGTTTCTGTGCATATCTGGGATTACCTCGACCAGAGCAAAAAATCTTATACTTTGCTTTTTTTGAACCTTGTTAGTTTGATGTCATTGATGAATCTCAGAGTCACAGAACAGCAGCAGTTGGAGGGAACCTCAAGCGATTATTGAGTCCAACCCCTTGCTAAAGCAGGTACCTACAGCAGGTAACACAGGCAGGGTCTTGAGTATCTGCATGGAAGGAGACTCCATAACCTCTCTGGGCAGCCTGTTCCAAGTACTCCATCACTGAGCTTCCTATGTTCAAGTTTTAAGCCATTATTCCTTGTCCTATTTTTATGCACCACTGAGAAGAGCCTGGCCTCATCCATTTGTCTCCCACTTCCCTTTAGATATTTATAAACATTAATCACATCCCCTCTCTGTCTTCCCTAGGCTGAACAGACCCAGGTTACTCAGCCTTTCCTCGTAAGGGAGACACTCCAGGCCCTTTATCATCTTTGTGGCTCTCTGCTGGACTCCTTCTAGGATATCCCTTTCATTTCTGAACTGGGGTGGCCAAAACTGGACACAATATGAAGATATTAAAGAGTATCAATCCCAGTACTATAGAGCATGGTTCCCAAAACATCAGATCAAAGGTACAAGTCAGCAGCAATGGTGAATGGATAAACCGATTTTCTGCAGTTTACACAGACTGGAGGAGGTGAAGAAGGGAGATTTGCAAAGGATTCAGTACCTAGAACCTCAGCCCTCCCCTCAGTGATGGGCACAGGCCAGAAGGCTGGAAGCCAGCAGCCCTTAGTGGGGGAGGAAACACGGTGAGGGGTTTGCACTTGTCAGGACTTGAAGACATTAAATGATCCAGGGGAAAGATTCAGGAGATGGATAGAAAGCTGTACAAGCTGAAGAAACAGAGGTCTCCCACAGGTCTGGAATCCAACACATTCAGCTTGTGGACTGGGCCACCTCCAAGATTACTTTTCCTTTATGTTTCTTATGAAGAGCCCTCTTTGGCCTACTTTTGGTGAACTGCCAAGTAATTTGCATTAATTTGCCTGACCAGCTGTAGTAACCCGCTTGTCCTCCTGTGGCCCTCATTATTCACCATTCTGCTGTGCTCTAAATGCAGAAAGGGCAGCGGGGTGAGCTCCAGCGAATTGCTGGAGATGCACCCTTAGCGGCTCTGCCACGCTGAACCGTTCTCACAGCTGGCTGATATCTCACAGATTATTCTCCACCTGCCTGCCCTGCTTCTGAGGACACTCAGCTTCCCATAGACTCAAATCGATGTTTTTCTCATCTTTAAGGATAGAAATACGTAGTGTTGAAAGCTCTAAATGACCAGAAAAGAGTGAGAAATCTGTAGAAAATAAGGATCCCACTGCTCCCCCAGATCCTGATATCCTCCTTTGAAGTCATTGGCTGAACTTATTGTTTTGGCAGTCAGAAGTCACCAAACGAACGTTGAAAATCTGAGCTATGGAAAATCCACTCGCTAGTGAGCAGCTTTCCCCAGTGGTGCTGCCTTCTCCAAGATGTGAACTTAAAACAAAATCATCAAGTCACCCCAAATTTGTCCTCATCCAAGTCCCTGCATTTTGGAGGATGGCGTGCTAAATGCGAGGGGGAACACAACGATGCAGTTGTACCACGCTGAGGCCATGTGGTGCAAAGTCAGTGCTGTGTGTCCAGGCTGCATGGTGCTGTGCATCTACGGAATGCATGGCACGTTGCATCTGTGAGCAGCATGCTGGAATGCAATGTGGGAATATTTAGGTACTCAGCAAACTGGGTGACACCGTGGATCACTTCACTGGAAGTTCTGAAGATATTTCCATCCATCTCCCCTTTAATCTGGCTTTAAAGTCCATCATGAGATCTGCATCCCACTTCATCCAGGTCAAAAAGGCCGGCTGATTCCAAAAGATGTTCACTTTCCTCGCTTTCTGGAGCACAGGCTGCATACACCTTTAATGCTCAGTGACCTTTGGAAAACAATATTTCTTTCATCTCAGCTATAGACGTGCTAGCAGGAGCGGAGAACTGTGAGCTGCGCTCGGAGCCAACCAGCTGGATGTGGGCAGCCTGGGGGTAAGGGTGGAGAAAGCAGGCAGCATCTGCCTTCACACACTGCCTTGTGCAAAGAGGCTGGCATGGCTCAGCTCCTGCTGCCTTCATCAGGAAGCACATACCTGCATTGCTCTCATGTATCATTGGCTACACTTTCATCATTGCTTATCAATGGACCTGTGCAGCCTGCGTTGGCAAATGGGGGTGTGTTATCACTTGCTTTATTAAGAGGTGAAATGTTTGATTTTGTGAAGACCTGAATATCATAACACACCATAGACTCTTCAGGCAAACAAATAGGATTTCTTGACAATTTGCTGTCCTTCATTGTACTGAAAGGGCACAGAGATGCAGACTGTTCCTGATTTTCAGATGAATTGCTCCTCTGGTGTAAAAGATACTCTCATAATAGTCCCAAATTAGCTGATTGCTTGAAGTGCCAGAATACTTAATGCTCTGCTATTTTAAACATATGGAAATTGATTCAACACTTATCATCTATTTAGAGATGTAAATTTATTGAAAAAGATGCCACTTCTTCCTCAGCTCCAGGCAAGCTCCGACGCTTGGTTTTCTGGGCACAGGCAGGTTTTTACAAGGCCCAGTGATTTTAACTGTGGTAATTTACATTCTTTCTAAAGGCAGAAGTAAAGGAAAATTGACTGTATTATCTACAGAGGAAATAACCCATCAATACGAGCACTGGTGTAAACTGACACGGCTATGGCTGTATCTGCTATGTTGTACCATGAGGACCTTATAGCAGGCACAGACACTGACCCAGGCTTGGGCACAAGCTCCTCTCACAGCTGCTCTGGCAGTAGGGCCCACACCGACATCGGCAGCGTGGGCTTCTGTCACTGCAGCACTGGGACACAGTCATAGGAAATGATGGAGTGCTAGCAGTGACTGCTGTCACACTGGATGGGTGAAGACACAAAGGGCAAATACAGCTAATGGATAGCATCCAAAGGAGGCTATAGAGATGGAGAAGGGTCTAGAGGGCAATGTGAGGAGTGGCTGAGCTCCCTGTGTTTGCTCAGCGCAGAGCAGAGGAGATGAAGGGAGGCCTGATGGCGGCTGCAGCTGCTCACAGGGAGCAGAGGGGCAGCGCTGAGCTCTGCTCTGTGTGACAGCGACCAGACACAAGAGAATGGAGCTGTGCCAGAGGAGGGCAGCTGGGGGTGAGGGACAGGTGCTGTGCCAGAGGGTGGTGGGCATGGAACAGCCTGCCCAGGGCTGTGGGCACGGCACTGAGTGCTGGAGCTCAGGGAGCATTTGGACGGTGCTCTCAGACATTGGGTTTGGGTTTTGGGTGGTGCTGTGTGGAGCCAAGATTGGACTCGATGGTTCTTGTGGGTCCCTTCCAGCTCAGAATATTCTGTGATTCCGTGGTTCTAAGGCAGGCACCCCTTAGAAAAGGGATCTGTGTTCCCATGTAATGCAGCCAGAGCTGCTGAAAGCACAAAGCATCCAGCATTTATCTGCAATCCCTGCAATGGCAAGCCCTAGGCTAACGGCAGACATGCGAGGTCAGGATGGGGTGAGAAAATATGTGGCCGGCCTGGTTGTAGCTCTGCCTCTGGATCCTTCCTTTGGATT